TATCTTGTTGAAAAATCATTTTTTGTTTAAAAAGAGCTAAACTGTCTTTTAACCCGGCTCTCCTTCCTCGGTAATCCGATTACCCATAACACCGACGTCACCCTGATGATCAGCACTCGCTCACGTCTGTGTTCATGCACGTGGCTGCCGGCGCAGCGGCCTGTCTACTGTCACTTTGTGTCGGGAAGTGGCAAAAATCCAGAATGAAATAACAATCAGCAGAAGAACGCAAGCAGAAAATAAAGTAAAGATGAATAGCTGTGGAAACGAGACCGAGGCAGTGTTGGCAGCTCTAATTAAAATCCCGCTCATTAGCTCGGTGCTAATTGGATGATTTATTTTCCTAGAGGACTGACTGACAATCACATTATGCCCGTGGTATTAGAATGAATGTGGGAAACGGGCATCCATGCCCGGGATGTGAAATGGAAACTGGTGTCGTTTTGATGTCATTAGTTCCTGATTCATCAGCCAATGAGAATCACTTCATCATCAAACAGCAGCAGCAGTGTTCGTGGATGTTTTTTTCTCCTGTATGTTATTGATCAAAGACCAATAAGTAAAAGATCTGTAGTGCCTCACCGTTACAGTGTTTACTGCATGGAAATGTGGTTAAAATGCAGAATTCAACCAACAAATACTTGAATCTAATGTTGCTTCTGTCGTGTCATCATGACCTTCACGACCTTGACTTTATTTGATTTGCTGACCTGCTAATCCTGCACCACTGCTTCAGAATGAATCCAATTTTAATCTTCGTCACAGTTTTTGCTTCACACACTTAGATCAACACGACGGGTTAACGTTTCTCCCGCACCGACAGAAGAGGATGGAAAGCTGCATAAGAAACGTGAACATGGCTGTTTTCTGAAAGTGTACCAGAACAACTGCAAACATCAGCAAACCAAACCCACGTAAACAATGTGGCTTATTATCTGGAAATATATTAAACATCGTCTTTTGATCTAAATCCTCAGTTATCAGAAAAGGCAGTTCCAAATGACTTTAACTCCCAGACTGTTGTTGGTGTTGTTCCTGTAAGGCCGTGTGAGTGTTGCACTGATGACCAACAACCGCCTTGCTGCCACACTGGAGGATTTCTACAAGCTCTGCTACAAAAACGATCAGAACCTTCGACCCATTTGGGGTCATGGACTGGGAAACCTCCAACTGCTGATTTAAAGTTTTATTCATTTTTTTAACTCTTGGAATTCAGAATGTTCAATTTTCAAAAAGTGACGTTTTTCAGCTCCGTGACACATCGTCCATGTGAAATCTACCAAAGATGAGCTTGGCGGTCATAAAAGCACGACGTGTGTGTGTGCGTGTGTGCTCGTTTGTGTGTGTGTGTGTGTGCATGTGTGTGTGTGTGTGTGTGTGTAAGAAGTGTGAGGACCTCTGCTTGAGTTATTTACAGATCCCTCTAGTCCTTCAGTAGAGGACCATAAATTGATTTAGCTGAATTGCTTTTCAAAGCTACTTCAATTTCACCCCTATGCAAATTTACACTCCTCTCTGTCTGTCTCTCGCTCCTTTTTAACCCTCCTTCACCTACTCCGTCTCTCCATCCATCCGTCTTACTTGCTCCACCCAGCTACATTTTCTTGGAGCCTTTTCACTCCCTAAACAACGACTTCCTCTTTACTTTCCATCATTTCCTTTCTTTCACATTCTTTTCTTTGTTTTTTCACTTTTCATGTCCTCCTACCCCTTCTCTCACTCTCTCAGGCTGACTCCAAGTAACTGTGTGTGTGTGTGTGTGTGTGTGTGTGTGTGTGTGTGTGTGTGTGTGTGTGTGTGTGTGTGTGTGTGTGTGTGTGTGTGTGTGTGTGTGTGTGTGTGTGTGTGTGTGTGTGTGTGTGTGTGTGTGTGTGTGTGTGTGTGTGTGTGTGTTAAAAGACTAACAACATCAACACAACTGTCAGTCCATTAAATGGCTGCAACATTTTAAGTTGCGTACCTGGAAACGTCTACTGGTATGATTCATGTCAGGACACACACACACACACACACACACACACACACACACACACACACACACACACACACACACACACACACACACACACACACACACACACACACACACACACACACACACACACACACACACACACAGTCTGATCCAGCAGCATGTTACCAGCGAGTCTAAAGACTTGATGAGCACAGGTCTTCTCTGTGGAGACGGTATGGTTTACTGCCTTTAAAGCATGTCCACTCACACTTTGTGCACACGCAGAAGACACACGGCACCCGGGTTCTCCAGTGTTGCCGTGCTGCATCTTTTACTGAGGAATGGCTGCATTTGTGATGGCTTCAGCAGTAGGAGGCCGGTCTGAGATGGTGTATATTGATTTTATATTTGGCAGACGGCACCGTGGCCACTTAGTCCTGCTATGTACCTCACGCTCCCCGTCTCTTTTTCTTTTCTTGTCTTTCACGTGCACCATCCTCCTCTTTTCTTCGCTCTTTTGTGAGCTGGGATTTTTTTAATTAAAAAATTATTTTACACACATTCCTGATGTTTTCTAACGTTTTATGAATCTGAAATGCTCATTTGTACTTTTTAAAATAAGATGATCTTTATTTTAGAGTCCTTTCCATCACTCGTCTCTCGTTTTTTGTTCATTTTCAGTCATTTTGGGTTTTTCTCCACTTCTTACATCACTGTTTTTCCCTGTAATCCTGCCTCGAGTATTTTCTGCTTCTTCACCGGTTTTTTACCCCATCCATCCATCCATCCAGTCTCTTCCTCCCTACACTGTTTTTGCTGCTGCCTCATCTTTTCATTACCTTTTCCTTCAACCCCCCTCCTCACGTCTTTCCCCCAAACTTAAGATTTCAGTACCTACATTTCTCTTTTTTCTATCATTTCAAGTCCAATTCTACTGTTGTTATTTATTACATTTGTATTGTATGTAAAGTTTTTCACTTTTCACGTTTTTTTATCTGTTTTCTGTTTGTCGTCTCAATAACTGCTCAGAAACGAGACCTTCACAAATGAAGGCAAGGCAGCTTTATTCATATTTCACACACACGGGCAGTTCAGTGCTCTTTCCGGTTAGAACAGCAAGAACAGTGTGAAAGTGGAAGTAAAACACACACAAGTTCAATTTAGATTTCAACTCACAAAGTCAAAGTTAAAAGGTGAGCAGTTACAGTGAAGAACGTGCAGTATAATGATAAAAGAGGGTAAATTGGGTTAAATAAACTGCTTTAAGATATTTATTATGCTTACCACTACTTGGGACCAACAGCTGTGATCGTCTATATAAATAAAGATGATCTCCTGCTTGCTCATAAGATGATTGGGCATCTTTGTTCTGCAGGAGACCGTCTTGTTGTTCAGCGTCGCAGGTGCGAGAAAGGTTTCAGGTTCAGAATCCGTCTGGTTAGAGAGGCTTTCGCTCACATGGCCGGTCTGGAGCTCTTCTCTGGAACCCTCGAACTGCTCGAGCGGTTTTGACTGAAGGTGAACTGCATGAGGGGGAAACCAGAGCTGGCTAGTTTTAATGGACTGATGTTATGATTGACTAACCAACCACAGGTTGACTAGTTTGAAGACGTTACCAAGCATCTCAGAGACACGCCCTCCGTGATGGAGACTGAATGTGGACAAAAGGTTAACGTACGTGTCATGCGTTACCTTAACTTGACTTGTGAGTGCAAACCTCGTCAGGTAAACATACTAAACAATCATTGAGCACAGATTAATGAAACATTTCATTATTTATAATTAGCAATGACAAAAGTTCATTCAATGATTATTTTTAATTATAAAATCGTCTTTTCTTCTGGGAATAAAGGAGTTTCTTTTAAAAGAGTTCCTGTGTGATGGACCTTGGAGGAAAGATGTTAAAGTTTATGTTTTATTGTCTCTGCAGTCCAGCTGGTGTGAGGAAGTAGGTCTGATTAAAGGGGCTACGTGCAGACTCTCCCACTCCTGTCAGGGGAAACACAGTCAGATGTGTCATAGCCAGGGTAAGTTGACCTGTAGGAGCTCTAAACCAGGCCAATCGTGGCGTTACAATAATAACGAAGGTTTTCGACTTGGATTTAAAGGTTACTGTTGGGGCACATTTTAGGTCATGGGAGGTGATTCCATCTGTGTGCAGCACGGCTGCTGAACCCTGTTTGGTTCTGACCTGGTTCTACCAGCTGACTGCTTCCCAAGTATTTCAGTGAATATACAGGAAGGTAGTGTGACATGGATTCCAGCCCCATGTCACTGGTTGATTTATAAACCAGTAGAAGCACGTCTTACTGGTAGAGTCCAAGTAAGACCTTGTCATGAACGGAAACTAGTCCTAATGGAAATGAATGGATCATCTGAGGTTCATTACGTCTCCCTGCCTCTTTAAAACATACTTTCAGAAAATCCGTGTCACGGATATGTAAACAAATAAAAGGAAAGTAGAGTTTGTTGATATTTAAGCTTTATTAGTTGGTCAAGATAATCAAACAAGGTTAGCCAAATTTTAAACCGCTTGTGTGTGTGTGTGTGTGTGTGTGTGTGTGTGTGTGTGTGTGTGTGTGTGTGTGTGTGTGTGTGTGTGTGTGTGTGTGTGTGTGTGTGTGTGTGTGTGTGTGTGTGTGTGTGTGTGTGTGTGTGTGTGTGTGTGTGTGTGTGTGTGTGTGTGTGTGTGTGTGTGTGTGTGTGTGTGTGTGTGTGTGTGTGTGTGTGTGTGTGTGTGTGTGTGTGTGTGTGTGTGTGTGTGTGTGTGTGTGTGTGTGTGTGTGTGTGTGTGAATGGGGAGTCTGATCAAGGCTAATATTAGCGTTGCCTCTCTTTACTTCAGCTCGTGTACCGTGACTCCTGTTTGAACTAACTGAGTTGACTGATCTACGCTCCAGCGATAGATCCGATAGTGAAGAGTAGTGGACTGTCAAACTGGACCTTTAGCTATTTCTGTGTTTATCAGAACTTGTTCTAATCTGTGTTAATCTGTCCCTCTTCCACTCTTTTTCATTTAGTTTTAGTCGTGTTTGAAGGTAATTCCTTAACCCTCGACATGAAGAATCACCACCAGGAGTCGGAAGTTCAGTAAGAGTGGTTTATTTTGAATGGTGCGGTAGAGGTAGCTTCCCAAGGACAGGAAATGGATCCGTGGGGTTCTGGGAGAGGAAGAGAGGTCAGTCTGGAACAACGTGAGAGGATGATGAGGAATGCCAAGGGCTTACGGTTTCCTGGATGATCCGGGTTCTCCGGGGAGGGTATGCCAGGCCCGGCGGAGCAGGGAGACCGAGGAGCTGCAGGTGGGCCGGTGAGTGGCGGAGAGCAGGCGATCAGGGGCAAATGGCGGGACTGGAATGTTGATGATGGTTCCGGTGATATTGTAGAAAGCGAATATGAATGTGACTGGAACCTGGAGGGATCAGGAGGGCAGAGCAAGTTAACTGCCCGAAGGGCGGGAATGGGCAGACAAACACATTCTGATATGTTTCAGAAAGATCAGGAGGAGGGCTAGGAACTACCCAAGGCACTGGTGAGCTGTCCTGCCGCCCCTTAAATCCCCTGACCGCTGATGTGATACAGCTGAGCTCTGCAGACACACCCACCTGCAAACAAAGCTCAGACAAAGATGGTTGGTTCAGCACGGAGCATGACAGCTTTCTGTCTGTCTTTAGAGACCTGGTGCTCCATAACACCTGTGGTGTTCGTAGGGCACCAGTATTATTTCACCATAGCTTGTTTCCTCTTCAGTGAAGGAGGTGTAAAGCCTATTTGATCTTTAGCGTGGACCAACCTACCTGTGGAAGAAAAAAACACAAAGGAAATGTGTTAAGATTCTTTTATTTTTTTACTTGGAAAATGTATTTGAGCAGAAAGACTCAGATGAGCCACTAACTGGATGCTGTGGGTAACGTTTGTGCCCACAGTTCCTGATCTGTGAGGTCTGTTTTCCTACATGCTTTAGATGTTTGACTGCTTGAACACACCACATTACTTTAACTCCTCAGTATTTTAGAAAGCTCAGCAATTCAGTTCAAGTTTATCTATAAAGCGCCAAATCACGACAAGAGTCGTCTCAAGGCACTTCACACAGTAACCAGTACAGGTCAGGTCATTCAGCCAATCAGAAATAATGTGTCCTATATAAGGAACCCAGCAAATTGCATCAAACCACTGACTAGTGTCACTGACTTTACAGCAATCCTCATACTAAGCAAGCATGCAGCGACAGTGGAGAGGAAAACTCCCTTTTAACAGGAAGAAACCTCCAGAGAATCCTGGCTCAGTATAAGCAGCCATCCTCCACGACTCACTGGGGATGGAGAAGACAGAGCAGACACACACACACACACACACACACACACACACACACACACACACACACACACACACACACACACACACACACACACACACACACACACACACACACACGCACACACGCACACACGCACACACACACACACACACACACACACACACCAAGCTATGTGTCCATGGTGACACCGTGATTTCTTAGTAAATATTCTATTTGGTGAGAGATCAACTTTATTGTATTTATTCTAGTGGATCTATAATTAAACGGGTAAACTAGTAGTAGCACATCCAACGTCACAGAGAGTAAAAAGTTATTATCAGGAGAGGGAGAATGTTTAAGTGGTTAGCAGCAGTGTGCTAGTCGATGGCCCCCTCCATGAGGCCACCACAGCTCAGCAGAAGCCTAGTAATCCTCCATGAATTTTAACAAAGTGTGTTGAAGCAGGGAAGCATCTAAAACAGTCACGCTGAGGTGCCTTAGTCCCGGGCTGGCCTGGGTCAGAGGCAAGGAGGGTCTACTGGGCAGGGAGTTGTTAACTATGGTGGGTGGAAGTTCTCACGGATTACCCATCAAATGAGAACCAGGCCTGATCTTGATGTTTGTGATGCACGCCGTCAAACGCGTGCGACTTATGTTGTTTATAACTACTTCTCCATCAGAGAAGTATTTGAATGGTAAGGTGGTATTTTCCACAATGTTACATATTGAACAAACTGCAGGAATAAATGTACAAGAATGACTTTTATAATTTACTGAGGCAATAAAAACAAAGATGAGTGCATTAAAGCATATTTGGCCGTTTTGTTTGCTTTTATCATCCACTGGTGTCCAAAATTAATCCTACGTGGTCAAACTGAGATGTATCTTCGCGCTGTGCATTCGTCCTTTTAACACCTAAATCCCAGGGTATTCAGTTCTGATCCTTTAGTCGTTGTTCTGCTCCAACACACTTGATTCAGTGGTTGAATCATCTGTGCAGCAGCTCGTCAGGTTTAGCAGAAGCCTGTTAATCACCTGATGATTGAAATCAGGTATGTTGAGACAGAGTTAAAATGAGAACGTGCTGGATATCGGCCCTCCAGGCTCAGAACTGTGAGTACCCCTGCCTTATTCTAACAGAAATGTCTCCTCAGCCTTCATTAGTGTCTACAGGAGCAGTTCGTCACAAAATCAAACATTTCAGCTGTGTTCTTGATCTTAAACATGCAGGAAATGTACTGGAACCAGACTGCAGTGCCAGGTATACCAGGTCAAGTTTTTATCAAGTCCCAATAGAGCAGCCTACTAGTCTGAAGTTGCAAATGCGGTATTTTAGCCACAGGGGATGGTGGGGTCTGAGTGACATTTCATTAAACCTATGAAGGGTCATTTTGGCACACACTGGCTCGAGAAAATTATTTAAAAATATGAAAAAGTTGAATTCTGTGGGATTGGAGGGCGACCCGCACCCACTGAAAGCACACGGAAGTGTGGAGAATTCTCAGACTGGGACGTTACTCGAGGAAAATCGTAAGCTGGACAATGTTCTAGCTGCAATACCGGTATTAGTGCGCAATATGGATGTCATCTCTGAGAGAGTCAGCGGACGGTGTGGACAAGTTTAAACACCCAAAATTGGCTTCACTGAAGGACTGGAATGATCAGTTTAAAGACTGAAGGCAGAGAGGAAAATTATCTCAGCCTGACCCAAACAGAGTCTTGTTATCCGAATCTGACGCCCTGGTAGCCTTGAGCGGCAAGCAAGTAAAACCCCCACGAAGGAATGCAGACAGATGCTGTGAAAACCTTACCCCCCCACCCCACCCCACCCACCCCGCCGCCTTCGGATTGGTGGACTTCAGCCTGGCGAGGTCATCAGCTGGAGGAGTCAATGTACTCTTTGCTTCTCCCAAGATCTCCCTCCCACCTCTGATGGTACAGTAGATGAGCGCCGTAGATGGCTGCCCTCGCTGGGAAACAGGATCCCCCCCCCCCCCCCCCCCCCCGGCCTTCCTATTGAAGTCTCATGTTATGTTGTGTTGTCTGAAGTCTGTTGCAAATCTGTTGAGGTGTTATTTTGCAGAGCAAAGCTGCCCCCTGGTGGAGGGTAACTCTGAGGTGCCTTTTTTCCTCCACCTGAACCAATCCTCATGAAACCCTCTGATCTCTATTAAGGTAGTGCGACTCAGGGTTGTGAATGACCACAGTCACCAGTTCTTGTCATGTGTCTTGCCCATGTATGTCTAATCTCTGAATTGTGTGTACTGAAACTCTAATTTCCCTCTGGGATTAGTAAAGGATTGATTGATTTATTGATTGATTGATTGATTGATTGATTGATTAAAATTCAGCAAATTTACATGGATCTATTAGACTATGATGCCTAAAAGTAAATGTTTGTTTATGTAATATGTCCAGGGAAGCTCAAGTTGCAAATATGATTTCCTCCCTACAAGGAGGAAGGAGCTAAGAGACGTCATTTAGTAAACAGTCATATTAGCACCTACTGGTTCAAGAAAATGACTTCATTAGTGCACCTTCACGGAGAACAGTCATGGAATCGGGTAAAAAATGTTAGCATGTTTATTTTCAAACTTTTCAGGAATTTAAACTGAACTTTTAGCTAAAACGGATAAACGGTTTTTTTACATTTCAGTTTAAACCTGGTCTCTGGCCTTTTGAAATAAGATAAAGAACATCTAATTTAGCTTGACTTGAACTTCTCTGAAACCCGCCTTTTCTTCTACAACAGCTCCAGTCGGTTCCGTGTTCTTTTTCATGCATCAGACCAAATGAAGAAACACTGAGTCTGACAGAGCAATCAGGCGACGACAACAAAACACGAGGAGACTTTTTAGCTTTCCGTTTGTCTGCCTGGAACAAAGGAAGCCAGCAGGGGCATGAGCTTGGATCGGGGACAGCTTGTTGCAGAGATAATTCTCTCATTTGAAGGGAAATTGACCCTGGGTGCTGAATCTGGAACCAGATTAGTCATTCTAGTCAGACTTCGTGTCCAACTTTATTGTAACAAGAAGAGGTGCAGTGGAAGACAGAAACGATGATTTAAACTGGTATTTTGGGTTCAGGTGCAGACGAAATGAGGTTATTATACAGGGTAAGGCACTGTGTAATACATGGGGATGTCGGTAACAGAGGGGGACTTTAATATGGTGACAGGAATAGAATAATCATTATTTGTTGGTGTAGTCGATAACGATCACCGGACCAAACTGTTGGATCTGGTAATGAGAGTAAATGTCTGTTACGCTGCGGTGCCATCCTCCATGACTGTTGTTTTCCAGTCCAATAGGATGACTGTAAGAGCCAATTAGTTGCTAATTCATTTAGGATATATGAGTGAATATGTGGAAAAAATGCATATTTATGATGTTTAAAATATATAATTTCATAAAAATGACAGAAACACGAGTTAAAATCATGGAAAGTAGAAGTGTTCGCTTCTGAAACATTTTCTTTGTATTTTGGGCTTCCTGAATCCCATAATAACTTGTATAGAAGGTTTTGTTTTTTTATTTTTGGTTATTTTTTAATTTTTTTTGGGTAGATTGGAGTTGGAGCGTTAGGAGGCAACACAGTTAAATAACCGAGTTGCACCACAATTTGATTTTTAATGAAAGCCTCCTTTTATAAAGAAGATCATCTGGTCTCACTCGCGTGATCACAAATCTAAGTTGCTCAACCAACTTCCAACGGGGGCTTGAAGAAGAAAAATAACTGCACTGCCACCACGATGACCCCCCCACCCCCGGTTCCTACGCCCTTGGCCTGTAGGAGTGTGCGCATGCATGTGTGCTTTTCAAACGCACTTGTATGTAGACACGTCTGATAGTGAAGCGTTAGAGCTGAGGCTGTTTAATTAGGCAGATAAAGTGTCTGCAGGTTCCTCTGGCCCTCAAAACTGCGTGGCCCCATTACATTTGTGTCACAGCGCCTGATCAAACTAGATAAATACCACAAAAAGAAATGCATTTATGGACAGTGTTTTGAATTTTTCTTTAATATACTTGTTTATTTTTTTAGAGATGCTATTTTTTAATTAAAGGCAAGATTCACAGATGCAGCTCAATTTTTATCCAAAATAAAAACTAACTCCAAGCTCTAAATGTACAGAGGATTACATTTTACTCTTACCATTTGAATTTCATGTCAATAATTTGAAAATACAACTAAAAAAACTACATAAAAATGCATCATATTTTTCAGATGTCATGTTTTTGCTTTTTCTGAAACTGAAGCTTTATCTTGGCCTAGTTTGCATTCATTGACATGTGTAGAACAGATTGACCAGTCCACCATCCTTCACAAAACAAGTCACATCCTGTGGTTTCTCACTTTTCAACAGTTTCTCCTCGCACGTTCCCAGAAGGTTGTAGTCTCCTCTGAGTCCGCTGTCCTCATCCCAGACGCTTATCTTCATGGTGCTGACGCGATCGGGGTTAAAGTGGAATGTTTCCCACCAGTCTGGGCTTGACGTTGATTCAATCACCCGGGTTGTACGAGTTTGATTGCCGATATTCACCTGTTTAACCAACGATGGAGACACAGAGACTTACCCGGGTGGTTTAGGGTTTCAACTGCATCAGAAATGTAAAAACCAGAAACAACTCACCACAACGTATGGCTCTGGGTCATCAGGGAAATCTCCCGTGAGGCCGATGCCGTTTGACACCACAACTTCCACAGGCGTTTTGAGACATGGATCAGCCGCAGCGCAGAGTGGTCCTAGCAGGCAAAACACCACGAAAACTTTCATTTTCAGCCTTTGTGACTGCAGGATCATCATGGTTCAAATGTCAGAAAACGTGTGTTTTTATAGGGTTTCAGAAGAGAGGGCAGGGCCCCAACCCCACCCATTTGGGTCAAATCTGCCCCAGTCATTCATAAAAAGCATCATTTACAGTTTTGAAACCTAATCTGGAGCACTTGAACCTTCTCTAGGCTTTTAGAAACTTAAAAGTTTATACATTTAAAACAATGATGGGAAAAGCTGTAGAATAAAGTTCATGTATAAGAAAGCTTGTAAGATGATGTAGTTGATGTGACACATCTTAGTGCAGCCAACAGACGTGATTAGTTTGCTTTCAATCTACTTCCAGATAGGCCAAGGTCTCCAGATAGCAGCAATCAGAATGAACAACATGTCCAGTGTTTCAAACGATGAAACACCGAGCTGCATGAGATAGGAGATGGTGGCATCTCCACGTGCATCATCACAGCAGAGTTTGTTGGAAAAGCAAAGTCAGGCAAAGATGTTCTTTAAGGAGGTCAACCGAACAACAGAGTCAGGAGAAACACACATCCTCATAGGTGTGTGTGTGTGTGTGTGTGTGTGTGTGTGTGTGTGTGTGTGTGTGTGTGTGTGTGTGTGTGTGTGTGTGTGTGTGTGTGTGTGTGTGTGTGTGTGTGTGTGTGTGTGTGTGTGTGTGTGTGTGTGTGTGTGTGTGTGTGTGTGTGTGTGTGTGTGTGTGTGTGTGTGTGTGTGTGTGTGTGTGTGTGAATGGGGAGTCTGATCAAGGCTAATATTAGCGTTGCCTCTCTTTACTTCAGCTCGTGTACCGTGACTCCTGTTTGAACTAACTGAGTTGACTGATCTACGCTCCAGCGATAGATCCGATAGTGAAGAGTAGTGGACTGTCAAACTGGACCTTTAGCTATTTCTGTGTTTATCAGAACTTGTTCTAATCTGTGTTAATCTGTCCCTCTTCCACTCTTTTTCATTTAGTTTTAGTCGTGTTTGAAGGTAATTCCTTAACCCTCGACATGAAGAATCACCACCAGGAGTCGGAAGTTCAGTAAGAGTGGTTTATTTTGAATGGTGCGGTAGAGGTAGCTTCCCAAGGACAGGAAATGGATCCGTGGGGTTCTGGGAGAGGAAGAGAGGTCAGTCTGGAACAACGTGAGAGGATGATGAGGAATGCCAAGGGCTTACGGTTTCCTGGATGATCCGGGTTCTCCGGGGAGGGTATGCCAGGCCCGGCGGAGCAGGGAGACCGAGGAGCTGCAGGTGGGCCGGTGAGTGGCGGAGAGCAGGCGATCAGGGGCAAATGGCGGGACTGGAATGTTGATGATGGTTCCGGTGATATTGTAGAAAGCGAATATGAATGTGACTGGAACCTGGAGGGATCAGGAGGGCAGAGCAAGTTAACTGCCCGAAGGGCGGGAATGGGCAGACAAACACATTCTGATATGTTTCAGAAAGATCAGGAGGAGGGCTAGGAACTACCCAAGGCACTGGTGAGCTGTCCTGCCGCCCCTTAAATCCCCTGACCGCTGATGTGATACAGCTGAGCTCTGCAGACACACCCACCTGCAAACAAAGCTCAGACAAAGATGGTTGGTTCAGCACGGAGCATGACAGCTTTCTGTCTGTCTTTAGAGACCTGGTGCTCCATAACACCTGTGGTGTTCGTAGGGCACCAGTATTATTTCACCATAGCTTGTTTCCTCTTCAGTGAAGGAGGTGTAAAGCCTATTTGATCTTTAGCGTGGACCAACCTACCTGTGGAAGAAAAAAACACAAAGGAAATGTGTTAAGATTCTTTTATTTTTTTACTTGGAAAATGTATTTGAGCAGAAAGACTCAGATGAGCCACTAACTGGATGCTGTGGGTAACGTTTGTGCCCACAGTTCCTGATCTGTGAGGTCTGTTTTCCTACATGCTTTAGATGTTTGACTGCTTGAACACACCACATTACTTTAACTCCTCAGTATTTTAGAAAGCTCAGCAATTCAGTTCAAGTTTATCTATAAAGCGCCAAATCACGACAAGAGTCGTCTCAAGGCACTTCACACAGTAACCAGTACAGGTCAGGTCATTCAGCCAATCAGAAATAATGTGTCCTATATAAGGAACCCAGCAAATTGCATCAAACCACTGACTAGTGTCACTGACTTTACAGCAATCCTCATACTAAGCAAGCATGCAGCGACAGTGGAGAGGAAAACTCCCTTTTAACAGGAAGAAACCTCCAGAGAATCCTGGCTCAGTATAAGCAGCCATCCTCCACGACTCACTGGGGATGGAGAAGACAGAGCAGACACACACACACACACACATGCACACGTGCACACGCGTGCACACACACACACACACACAAACACACACACACACACCAAGCTATGTGTCCGTGGTGACACCGTGATTTCTTAGTAAATATTCTATTTGGTGAGAGATAAACTTTATTGTATTTATTCTAGTGGATCTATAATTAAACGGGTAAACTAGTAGTAGCACATCCAACGTCACAGAGAGTAAAAAGTTATTATCAGGAGAGGGAGAATGTTTAAGTGGTTAGCAGCAGTGTGCTAGTCGATGGCCCCCTCCATGAGGCCACCACAGCTCAGCAGAAGCCTAGTAATCCTCCATGAATTTTAACAAAGTGTGTTGAAGCAGGGAAGCATCTAAAACAGTCACGCTGAGGTGCCTTAGTCCCGGGCTGGCCTGGGTCAGAGGCAAGGAGGGTCTACTGGGCAGGGAGTTGTTAACTATGGTGGGTGGAAGTTCTCACGGATTACCCATCAAATGAGAACCAGGCCTGATCTTGATGTTTGTGATGCACGCCGTCAAACGCGTGCGACTTATGTTGTTTATAACTACTTCTCCATCAGAGAAGTATTTGAATGGTAAGGTGGTATTTTCCACAATGTTACATATTGAACAAACTGCAGGAATAAATGTACAAGAATGACTTTTATAATTTACTGAGGCAATAAAAACAAAGATGAGTGCATTAAAGCATATTTGGCCGTTTTGTTTGCTTTTATCATCCACTGGTGTCCAAAATTAATCCTACGTGGTCAAACTGAGATGTATCTTCGCGCTGTGCATTCGTCTTTTTAACACCTAAATCCCAGGGTATTCAGTTCTGATCCTTTAGTCGTTGTTCTGCTCCAACACACTTGATTCAGTGGTTGAATCATCTGTGCAGCAGCTCGTCAGGTTTAGCAGAAGCCTGTTAATCACCTGATGATTGAAATCAGGTATGTTGAGACAGAGTTAAAATGAGAACGTGCTGGATATCGGCCCTCCAGGCTCAGAACTGTGAGTACCCCTGCCTTATTCTAACAGAAATGTCTCCTCAGCCTTCATTAGTGTCTACAGGAGCAGTTCGTCACAAAATCAAACATTTCAGCTGTGTTCTTGATCTTAAACATGCAGGAAATGACACGTCTGATAGTGAAGCGTTAGAGCTGAGGCTGTTTAATTAGGCAGATAAAGTGTCTGCAGGTTCCTCTGGCCCTCAAAACTGCGTGGCCCCATTACATTTGTGTCACAGCGCCTGATCAAACTAGATAAATACCACAAAAAGAAATGCATTTATGGACAGTGTTTTGAATTTTTCTTTAATATACTTGTTTATTTTTTTAGAGATGCTATTTTTTATTTAAAGGCAAGATTCACAGATGCAGCTCAATTTTTATCCAAAATAAAAACTAACTCCAAGCTCTAAATGTACAGAGGATTACATTTTACTCTTACCATTTGAATTTCATGTCAATAATTTGAAAATACAACTAAAAAAACTACATAAAAATGCATCATATTTTTCAGATGTCATGTTTTTGCTTTTTCTGAAACTGAAGCTTTATCTTGGCCTAGTTTGCATTCATTGACATGTGTAGAACAGATTGACCAGTCCACCATCCTTCACAAAACAAGTCACATCCTGTGGTTTCTCACTTTTCAACAGTTTCTCCTCGCACGTTCCCAGAAGGTCGTCGTCCCCTCTGAGTCCGCTGTCCTCATCCCAGACGCTTATCTTCATGGTGCTGACGCGATCGGGGTTAAAGTGGAATGTTTCCCACCAGTCTGGGCTTGACGTTGATTCAATCACCCGGGTTGTACGAGTTTGATTGCCGATATTCACCTGTTTAACCAACGATGGAGACACAGAGACTTACCCGGGTGGTTTAGGGTTTCAACTGCATCAGAAATGTAAAAACCAGAAACAACTCACCACAACGTATGGCTCTGGGTCATCAGGGAAATCTCCCGTGAGGCCGATGCCGTTTGACACCACAACTTCCACAGGCGTTTTGAGACATGGATCAGCCGCAGCGCAGAGTGGTCCTAGCAGGCAAAACACCACGAAAACTTTCATTTTCAGCCTTTGTGACTGCAGGATCATCATGGTTCAAATGTCAGAAAACGTGTGTTTTTATAGGGTTTCAGAAGAGAGGGCAGGGCCCCAACCCCACCCATTTGGGTCAAATCTGCCCCAGTCATTCATAAAAAGCATCATTTACAGTTTTGAAACCTAATCTGGAGCACTTGAACCTTCTCTAGGCTTTTAGAAACTTAAAAGTTTATACATTTAAAACAATGATGGGAAAAGCTGTAGAATAAAGTTCATGTATAAGAAAGCTTGTAAGATGATGTAGTTGATGTGACACATCTTAGTGCAGCCAACAGACGTGATTAGTTTGCTTTCAATCTACTTCCAGATAGGCCAAGGTCTCCAGATAGCAGCAATCAGAATGAACAACATGTCCAGTGTTTCAAACGATGAAACACCGAGCTGCATGAGATAGGAGATGGTGGCATCTCCACGTGCATCATCACAGCAGAGTTTGTTGGAAAAGCAAAGTCAGGCAAAGATGTTCTTTAAGGAGGTCAACCGAACAACAGAGTCAGGAGAAACATACATCCTCATAGGGGTGTGTGTGTGTGTGTGTGGGGGGGGGGGGGGTTCAACTGTAAAAGCATCAGTAAAACATAAAAGTACATATTTTGTGGTTCCTTAAGTTCCAACAGATGGTTGGTGGAGGTTAAAGGAAAATTCCCTCACAGAGAACAAACTGAGTGGCGAACAGCCTGGTTCACTTGGGGGATGGGGGGTGACTCAGTGATGCACCAGGTCATTGGATGAGTGTCAATGGTCCAAAATCTGAAACAGGAAGCAAGAAAAGGGTGGTTTGATGTACAAGAAGCCCAAACAAAGGTCATCTGGTGTTGCTGACACCGTGCCCCTCACTAATGGCCTAGTCTGGCCACGACCCATAGACAGAACTCGGTCGTGGGGTGGAATCTTCTCTTGTCTTTCAAACTACCTCCGCATGCTATTGGATAGTGCGAGGACCAATCAGAACAAACAACATGACTTATTCAATGCTGTGGAAATCAGCCACTGGGGCAGTTCGCCACACACAGTAGAAGATTGATCTTTTATTAAATAATGGACTTCAGTACCTATATCTGCTCACGTCATGGAGAAAGGCCCAAGTCTAAATTGTTCCAAGTTAACGCCAAAGCGGTTTCAATCGTACGCGGGAGACAACATCACCATTAGCAAAAATGAGCACTTTTTTTTCCTCAAACAAGCTCGCGGTCTTTAACGTCGAATGAAGATAAAACGGGTAAGGCAAGTCGAGATGTTAAACTTTATGGCCTTAAAATCACCACTCAAGTGAATTAAGCATCAATTAGGAATTATGTGGCGTCAACACATAACATAAGGTTATATTATATAATTAACATTTTCACACGATGTGATTTAGTGTCAGAAGAAGAGCCAGCAGTGAGGGGATTGCTTCTGTTGGGACTGAAGGAACAGGCGAGCCGAGTGTGCAGACAAGCAAGCATCAGTTTCACTATAATAACTTTTAATGACCTGCTGATGTTTTATTAGTAAACACGCAAAGCCCACAAGAGAGATAGCTAATAGGATGAAAGTAAAATGAAGCCTGCATATTTAGCCACTGAAAATATTTTCATTGGTTACATTAAAATGTGTTTTCCATATCAAATGTGCTAAAGCTGTACAGATGATTATTTTAATTGTGAGACAGGTGCAGGCGAGTCGAGGGAAGCTGGAAAAGGTGTGAAAGGAAGTGCTGAGTCTGCTACGGCTGCAGAGGCAGCAGCTCAGCTGCAGAACGCTGAACCACAAGTTGGGAATGAGACAAATGAAGATGAGCCTGTTGATAGTTTTGATTACTTCACTCGCCCTCAGTCACAGGATATCAATACATTTTTTTCTTATCACCCTCATCAAACCCCTAATATTACTGTACCAAAAGTTGAAGGGACAGAGGAGGGCCTCGGGGAGTGTGCTAGGGACGTTGAAGGAGTTAAGTGTGCAGCTGATGAGCTCGTGAAGTGGGTTAGTGGGAAGTTGCAAGAAGAGGAAGAGTGTGAGATGGTAGTGCAGACTGCCCCTCCTGAGAGAAGGTTTGGGAAAAAGCTTGCAGAAGACGAGCATCTAGCATCAGCTGATACGAACTTCAAGGTCAAAGTTCACAATGTCGTTGTGGACACGGTGACAGACAGTATCCATAGAAGGTTTTCTGCCAATGCAAAACTTTGCTCAGATGTTGCCGGGCTGGACCCTCGGGACTAGCTCAGCTCTGGAAGAAATAAACTTAAGTCAGCTTAAGAGCTACAGTTGGCACATGACGTAGTGAACGCTACAGCCCTGCATGTCAGAGGGACAGACTAAAGATGTCCCCTCTGGAGAGTTATACTGTCAGGACAGCTGGTGTAATGTTGCAAGGAAGCGAGCGGGATCCTTCAGTGGCACAGCTTGCTGAACTAGAGAGCAGCATTTGTTCCTCCTGTTTGTGTTCATCTCTCCCGGTCTCGGTATAATCTGCTAACGGATGCCTACCATGTGATTGGACTGGCCTACAAGTTGTTGTCCATCACACAGGTGTCCTGTGAACGAAGTTTTTCAATCATGAAGTTCATAAAAAACAGATTAAGGAGCACTTTGACCCGGAAGAAACTTGAGCCCTTCATGCTCATGTGCACTGTGGACAATGATACAGTAACTAACAAAGTCACAGAGACCAGTGCACTTCTCAAGCGTTTATTATTGTAGGCTGGGCATGTTTTTAGAAACTATTATGCAAAGGAAAAACAAGATAATGAAGAGGAACCTTTTTTAGGGTATGATGGCATCATTAGAAAGTTATTGTCACGCTGTGAGTTGGGGGAGGTTAGGACCCAAGATGCAGACCCAGGATGACACGAGGCAGGAGTTGTAGAAAAAAAATAAAGTCCTTTATTAGGGATAATTGTCCAAAGTAAAACCTCCAAAAAGGGCAGGAAGCCAAAAACATGAATCCAAAATCCTAACGCGTAAAATCCTTGAGACCTAGAGCTCCTTTAAACGGACCGACAACACGTTGAGACGCAGACAGGGTTTTATGCACAAAGGGAAACAACCAGGGAGACGGGTGACAGGTGTGTGGGGAGTAATCAGAAGGGATCAGGTGAGACCACTGACTAGGTAAAATAAATCTACAGATGAGTGAACTCCTAGAACCTGAAAACAAGACACCAGAAGAAAAACACCAACATGGAAGGGATTACTGCATCAGAAAACACTACGGGGTGGGGGTGGGGTGGGGGGGACTATAGGGGCACTTAAACCAAAGAAGAACACCTAAGGGGAAAACCTGGAGGGGGCTGGGGAGCACAAGGAGACACATGAGGGGGACACAGGACGCAGACCATGGCCGTTATCTTATACTGTGAATTGCAAACTTGCAGAAAACAGTGCAGTTTTTTCATTCTTTGTTCACACTGATTAGACGTCTATGAACACTAATTGATTGATATTTGATTTAGCAAAAAATGACAATTTGATGCTGTAAAAATTGTTATAGAGCTCATTTGTTAAAACTAAGTTGTGGTGGAACTGTTTTCTTACAGAGAAAAGGGAAACTAGTGCTAATAGAAAGAGTGAAACACTTTATTTTGTTCATTTATTATTTCATTTCATTTGAAAGGTTTGGAAATCTCAGAACAGCTAGGACAGAATGTAGATTGTTAGATTGGTAAAGAGAAAGTGTTGTGAAGAGCTCTGTTGGAGAAGTGCGCTGATGTTCACATAAACCTACAATGTAAAACAACTCTTACTTGCACTCAATTACAAGGCTTTACAGAGCAGTGTGCTTTTGTAGAATATACATATGAAGTTGTATCATGACTTTATTAATAATAGTGGGCCGTGAGGCGGGCCGTCTGGGTCTGAAACTCCAGGGCTGAAAATGTGTCCAGCTCTGGCCCTGGCTGCTACAGGCGGTCTACACGTCTAGACCACCTCACTAAATAATTTATACAATAAATCCACAAATGTGCTATAATACACAGGTCTTGATTGTGTTTTCTGAGGAAAAACAACAACATATGATGTGATCTTTTATCATCCAGAAAAGACCGTTTAAGCTGAGTTTGACGTCTGCTGCCTTCAGGGCCTTTGGGAAATGCTGAGGCTTCCTAAACTCACGTCTGATGAACAGTTAAAGCACAAACCTAACAAGCTAACAGCTGAGTCAGCAGTAGGTGACCTATTTTCTGTGAGGATTACCGTACGTACAGATGCACAGATGTGATTTTGATTTAACGTTACATTGAAGCAGAAGGTGCGTGCTGTTTTAGAAACTCCTGTCAGGGACTTGCATGAACCAGCCAGGAGAGCACGGATGATTTTCCTGACGTCTTCATTTATTACTTTTTTTTCTTTTCTCCAGAGAGGGTTCCAGCCAGCACTTGACATGACAAGACAATGGATGTAGAAACAACGTAACCCAAACTCAGGACCTGACTACAGACATGCACCAAACAAGAACCTCCCACAGACACAACAGGATCAACTCAAGTAGCGGCTGATCAGACCACTGCCAACACAACAGGGTGGGGAGACATCAGTAAACAAAGACCATAAATAAGCTACTCCTAACAAATTCATACTAGTCAGTCCATTCTGTTAGAGTTACTTCAAATGAAA